TAGTTAAATAACTTAATAGTTGAACTCCCAAATATTGGTTTTTTTATATTTTTAAAAAATATTTCCCATGAGAAACCTATAACCACGAATAGTTTTTCGGACAATCCTTTCGCCAAGGATGATATCTGTCCGAAAAAGGACGAATTGGCAGCACTGCAGTAGCCATCTCTTTCACAATTTGCATGTCTCGTTCGCTCTCGCTTCTGGAAATGGCCAAAAATGATTTCTGCAACTGTCTGAAAAGTTTTTACACACAGCCTTGGCAGCCATTTTTTAGCTTCCCGGGGTGTTTTTGATGACAAGTTTCTGACTTCATATTTTAACTAACGACTCCAGACAGCCACCCACACACACACACACACACACACACAGAAAGATTGGAATAGAGCCGGCAACACATATGGAAAATTATAATTTAGTCAACAATTTTTTGGCTCCAACTGTGAGTGTGTGTATGTGTGTGTGTTTTGTAGGAAAATTGAAGCGTAAAAATTAATGCTTGAGTGCGTCCTGTGCAAAAGACAACACACACCGAAAAGGACACAAAACTGTTGACAGTACGGAGCAAGGACGACAGTAATGAGTGGGAAAACTTTTGGCATTGCATTCGGGCAAATGTTTTTCTTTGGCAATTCCAGGGAAACTATTTCGAATGCACATCCCCTTTGTGAGCAGGAAACTGAGCCATTTGGCTTGCTTATAATTAGGAAAAGTTCGTATATTTGCCCAGCAAATCAATTGGAAATCGAAGTGGAGGCTTTTCCAGCAAATTGTAAGCTGAAATCAAATTGTTCTCAAATCCCAAATCATACTTCAAAGTATTTCTCGGTCCGTGGTTAAACTATTTACCAATTTACCAGAGATTCCCCTGGGTTTCCTTATTGTCAGACTTTGAAGTTTTTAATTCATTTCAACCCTCGGCGAAGCCATTTCAAAAACGTTTATCTAATGCTCAAGATCGCTTTTTTTTAGGGTGGGGCTGCGAAGCGTTTAACATGCAATTTAGCGCAGCTGCTGTGAAAATTCCTGGCTGCCTTTAAAGCCTTGTCGCAGTACGCAATAAATTGCCATTTAAATGAGGCACAAATGAAAGGCAAAGGGAGGACCGAAAAAAATCCTCTCGCATATTTTATGAAAGGGAACCCCAAAAAAAAATTGCCAACCCCGAACTCCCAAAAACCTAATGAGTAGAAACAAAGCCATATTTGCTGGCAAACGCGCCAAATTCCGAAAGCAAATTTGCCAAAAAGAAAAATTACGCATGGAAAATGGGAAATGCGAAAATATTTCCTCCTCATGCGTTGATCAAAAGCAAGCTACATGCATATTACAAATTAGCATGCATAAAACAGGGCCAAGAACGGAACGGAATGGCCAAAACAGCGAGGGGCGATTCGAGTCGAGTCGAGTCGAGTCGAGTGTGCCAGCGCATAAAGCAATATTTATGTTCTCGCATCGCTCGAGGGGAGTTGCGATGAGTTGGCCCCGCCGCGTTTCTTGGCTCTAAATTAAGCGTGGAATATGCGCTCAGATGCTTTTATTAAAACAGGCCGAAGTTGGGACTTATTGTACTTCAGGCAGCTATCTCGTTTCTGGTTCCCTGGCTGCCAGTCTTGTAATAAAAATTCCGCAAATAATCATTAAGAGGGAATTTGGCGTTACGCAAAGGGAATGTTTTATGGGCTGGGAAGGTGCCAAGTATCAGAATGAAATCACTAAGATTAAATATTTATTTGTCGTGTGGATAATATTTGTTCAAAGGGACCTAATACTAAACGTTTCATTTAAAATAAACCTTTAGTGCGCGCCACTTTATGGAATCTCCTTATTAAAATCTACTTTGGCACAACTTTTCGCTGCATTTGCTTAAATTACTTAAAACTCCAATGAATTAAAAGGAGCAAAAAACACTGCTGAGAAGGCAAAGTCTACTACTGAGCTACTTTCGCCAACTGCCAGTTAACATATGCAGAGCTTGCCACGCCCCCATACACACTTACGCACACACACACACACACTGTCAACAAGAAAACGCCCACATAAAGTTAACGACAGCGAACGAGGGCAAAAAGAAACCAAAAAAAGATGGCGAAATTGTGAGAGAAAATTGTTATTTAATTTGTGTGAGTGCTGAACATTTTTGCAGCTGCTGTTGCTCAAGTTCTTGCTGCAAAACTTTTTGCCCCGCACACGCACTATACTTTAACACAAGCATAAATTTTGGCCCACACAGATACGCCGGCGCCGTGCGTTTGTGTGTGTGTGTGTGGGTAAGTAAGTGCACTTTGCATTGGGGCCGCCGCGAATCCTTTGGCTTTCTTCAAAATTCATATGCACATTTATTTTACTCGCAGCCCGCTCCTCAAGTAGCTGCATATGCAAGTAGGTGCAGCAGCTTCAGCTTCAGTTTCAGCTTCCCTGCTTCTTATTTGTTGCATAATTTCCGCCCACCACCAGCCTTTTTTCTTGGCTTAAACGAAGCGTAAAGGCAACACAGGCTGCAATTTTAAGTCACGAGTTCATTAGGAGAGCCAAGGAAAACAAAAGGGGGCACAAACTTTCATATGCATAATGGAGACCTGCAATCGCCCCCCCCCGCTTTCCCCTCCAGATTGTCCACCCTTCCTCCGCTCGGACTAATCAAAAATGTCAACGAAGCAAATGATTGAGGCCATAATAATCCCTTTGTCATCGCTTTTTGGCCTTCTCCATTTGACTTGGTAATTATGGACAGGTAATCAGTGCAGCTCACGGTTTGAGGAGCGATTATACTGTTCTATTGGTTAGGTGCTTGCCATCAAAGGCTCTCAAGTTATTCTTCCTTTACTGCTGCATTGAATAAAATTCAAGCGTTTTCATTTACTTGAATACCTTTTTTTGATAGGAAGCAGATTATAATCAATTTTTGTTGAAGAAAAGTCTACTGTTAAGGATAATATTAAAATATAAAAAATAAACAGATTATTTTTATAAAATCTTTAAATTATACAACATTTTTATTGGTGTTGTCTTTTCTTTTGAAAGGAATGCGAAACTTTGCAGACGGGCGAGGACAACTTTTTAGCAGTTGCTCCTTGTATTTTGTTTAATTTTACAAGCAAACACAAATAGTGGAAGTAACTAAAGCGTCTCATGGAATCTTGGCTCAGACACACACACACATACACAGAGAACTCCGAACTGAACAATACTTTTCTCGTTCTTTGCTGCCTGGCTCTGAATTTAATCTATTGTATGGCTGCTATGTCTCCACGTTTTTTTTCCCGGCATTCATCCCGCTCTTTTGGCTCCTCTGTTATCCTGTCGTCTTTGACTGGAAGCCTGGGAATCCTTTTGCCGTCTGCCACTTGATAAATATGACTATTTCACGCTTCCCTCGACTAAACCCATTCCCATCATTCCTTGTTGTTTATTTGCGTTAAGTGTTAGCAGCCACGCTTGCTCCATCCGGAACTCCCTGAGATTCGCCCCCCAATTTCCACATCCTCCGGCTGGCTCGTATTTTGTTTATCTAGCACTCAATTTCGCAGTTTTAATGACAAACTGTCTTACCTTGAAATTGCATGCGGGAGCATTATAAGTGTCTCCATTTCGTGTAGCAAAACACCCTAGCCCACCGCCCACCGCCCACCGCCCACTGCCAGGATCTCTATGCTCTCTGGCAAGGACTTTGTTTGATTGCTTGGCTTCGTTGGTCCGGAGATCTGGGAGCCACTGTGTGAGCTGAGCTGAGCTGCTTCATGTTTGGATTGCACTCGAGGGTAAGCTTGGCCAGGTCCTCAAATCATCCTGCTCCTGAAAGAAGCCCCTTATCCTTCATCCTCCCTCTTCCCCTTGCCCTTCCCCTTCACCATCCCTATTCCTGCTTCCTGAACACTTGGCAAGTTTTATTGTCTCAATGTCCACTTGGCTTTTGCCTCAAGACAACTTAATGCGCTTTGCTGGGAGTAGACAACTCTGGAGGTGATGTGAAGTCAAAGCAAACGCATTTTCCTTAATTTCCGGCAGCATGATTTCCAATTTTTTCTGCCTTCAAACTCCCTTACACTTGTCGTATACTTAATATCTGGCAGGAGTCGGCAGTCGGCAGTCGGGAGTCTGGAGGAAGTGCGCAAGCTGATTGGAATTGCCTTTCGCAATGTCATCAATCATGCGTCGTTTTCCACACGCCCAGGCAAAGATTTTGACAAGTGTCAATGCGACAAGAGAACGAGCGATAAGCCCGACTATAAAAGAGCACAAAAACAAAAAGAACACACACAAAAATCAGAAAAATAAAAAATAATATCACAAAAGCGGGGAACAGGTCGAAATTGTTGGGGAAAATCACATGCAAAGTAAAATGTCGAACTTCTGACAGCAAGAAAATAAAACTTTTCATTTGTTTTCCTTGGCTCTGCCGTGTCCCGAAACTGCTGTCAAAGTTTTTAATGTTTTTAACTCCTCGCTGTCACCTGAGCAGCCACCCATTTGGAAAAACCACCCATCACAACCCCGCTCAGCCCTCGATTCCCGCCAAAAAGTCAACTGAAACTGGGCCACACCCAATTTTCTGGTAGTACAGCTTCACTTCTTTGATTGGCCTGCCGGGTCACCAGGGGCCTGGGAAATCTTCGAGAAGTGTGACTAACTCTCAAAAGACCATGAAGAATATGAATTGGAAAACTACCACCAGCATATAGATTTAGGTTTTATTTGTATTCACCCATCAAAATGACACCTATTTTCGGGAGTTGAAAATTAAGGAAATGACATTGAATTTAATAAAAATATTTATTCTCAATAAGCAATTGAGCTTGGAAGAAGCTTTATAGAAAATTCTTGAATGGGAAACATTTTAGCAATGACTTGATAAACTTACTTACAATTTATAACTGAAAACAATTTATTATGAAGCCAAGAAAGGCATATTTAAATAGCCTAGCCAACTCCCACTGTGCCTCACTCTTTTCCAATTAATTCTATCCCCATTTTTAGATGGTATCTTTTGTTCCACTCACCCTTCACTGAGACCGTGACGCTCTGCAGGACCTCGAGCTTCTTCTTGTTGGTCGGCGATTGGCCCACGCACTTGTACATGCCGGCATCCTGGTACATGACGTCCTTCAGCGAGAACTGGCCGGTGGGTTGGCTGCTGCCGTAGCCAAGGCCACGCAACCGGGCCGAAATGGGGTCCAAGTGCGACCAGCAGCCGAGGGAACCTAAAACGAGGGAGTTGTGCGACATGAAAGCCAGTGCATAATTTAATTAATTGACTTCCACGGACACGCGGCACGCAAGTTTTAATTTCTTTAATTGACGCGTCACTCCCACGGAACGCCGGGGCCATTTGTCTATCTTCGCATTTTGGCCGAAAGTGAGCAAAGTAAATTGCACGCATAATTAATTTCCAATTGCGCTAATTAATGAAGAGCCGAACAAAAGGCCACGACTGGCTTCGATTGAACGAAAGTAAAATGTAAAATGTAATTACAGGCCAGACACATTTGTCATTCTAAATGGCCCACGAATTCGGCACTTCTGGCCGGGCACAAAAGCCGCTTACTTTCTTTGAAGTTTCTGGCCAACGGGAAGTTGTTAGTTGGCCGATGGCTTTCGGCTTTTTCTTACCTTGAGGACACTGGAGGGTTACCGCGCCGCCCAGCTGCACTTCCAGCTGCCCCTTGTTGGGGTTGTGCGAGGCAGCTGCCACGGAAACATCCTGATCATCCGGCTCCGAGGTCACATCCACCGAATCGTCTGCAAAGATAAAGGACACAAAGCAGAAGCCGTCAGTTAGGGCTGCAAACTTCAGACCACATGTGGCGTACACCGAGAATAAAACAGAATACTTGTTTATAAAAGTAACTCGGGACTGCCTTTTATGCGTTAAGTTATCTCCTACAATCATTTCTCTGCACTCGCATTGAATTGCGGATTGAATAATCCCATTTTTTTCTGTGCAAATCCCAAGGCTGTTGGCAATTGTCAAATGTGACAATATTTCAATGACAGAGCCAGCAACAAATTGCTGACGCGATGCGAACACCTGAGTCACTCCGCAATGAGTTGTCACTTCCGTTTTGATGCCAACTAAAAGTGAAAATCGGTGCTCAGCTAGCTGGAAAATTGCCTGAGCTGCAATCTTCCTTGCCGCAAAATTCATAAATACATATATTTTATGCTCGTTTCCGGGGGCGGAAAGAGGCCATAACGATGCTCCATTCTAATTTTGCGGCGGGGAATGGGGTTGGGGGGCCAACACACACACACACACAAACACACTCACTCTCGCATATTTTCCACTTGCCTTGTGCGGGGAGCGGCGGTGGCTTTAAATTTCAGGTCGTCCTTTGTGCGGCGTACTTTATGGCGCCGTTCATATTACGGTATAAATAACAATTTGCCCTGACATGTGCCTAAAAGTATGCGGCCAGGAGGAGCGCTCCTTTGTCTGCCACCGGATATCATGACAATAAGTTGCCAAGTGGCGACCTGGCGGTAAAAAATGCTACGCCGGGGGACAAAGGCCTTCGGGCTCCACAAAGTGTTTGAAGAGAAGGGGGAGGGGAAGCCCCAGAATCACCTCGAAGCGCTCCTTCGGGGCAGTCGGCAAATTAGCAGACCCAAAAGAGAGCCGCACAATTAACAGAAACTACTAATTACCGCCGAACCTTGGAGCAACTTTAATCGAAGGCGAAACCCCCGAAGTTCCAAAACTGAGATTTGGAAAGGGGTCTTCGCTGCGAGGAAGAGAGACACAATTAATTGTAAGCTCCTTTCGCCTTTGGAGACCCTTCGTCGCATGTCAATCAGCCGGCAGCCAGCAGGCTCCCCTCCTCGAACAGGATTTTATTGCTGACAATGGCAAAAGTCCTCCCCTCGGATGAAAGGGCGTGTTACTTAGTCAAAATCACGTAGTTATAAAATTTTTTATTGCCCAACACAAAGGCGGACAAAGGCGGCGTCGCTCAAATTGACAACTTCAATGGCCAGCAGGAGATCGGGGATGGCGACGACTGCGAGTGCGAGTGCGAAGTACTCGTATTCTGGTGCAGCTTTGACAGAAATAAGAACCCTCTGTCTTGGTGGCTCGGCGAAAATGTCTAATGAGCTCAGTTCGTCCCGGCTCAACTGACAGACATTTGTCATTGCCCAAAAGCCGGCGGCGTGTTTCGAGGCGATGCGATAAGAGCGGTTGAGGGTCTGGGAGAGTCTGAAGTCTAAACAGGCGGAGAAAAGTCCCCGAAATTGGCCATCAATTTGGCTCATATCTGTGAGATGCCAGCTTGACGTCTAGCAAATTAAAATTAAAAATTTTGGCCATAAGAAAATGGGGGATCCATTGAAAAAACCAAGCTAGCAGGGAATCTTTCACCATACAAAAAAATTCAAAAATCATTAGGTAAAATGGAAGATTTGCTATATTGTCTTTAAATATTTTTTATTATATTTTTTTTTGTCAGTGCCTTTATCTTTAAAATCTCATCTTATTAAAACGAATTCCTAAAATGTCAACTGATACAGTTGTAGCTGTTTTTTATGTAGCTAAACGATAAAGAAGTGAGCAAGAGTATGGGAAGGAACAGTCAAAAGAACATTATCAAATGATACATTTGAACGCTCTCCTTCTGCAAGTACTCAACTTAGAAATCGATTCGTTTCTCCGCCCCAAAAAGTAAACTCCTTCAATATTTTTCCAAGTTTTTCCACCCCAGAACACTCACATTCATAATTTTAGCACTTGTTTCACGCATATTTTACTGAATGGCCATTCATAAAAGTGTCCTCCCACCCTTCTCTGTACCAAAGTTCGGAAAAGCGGAGGAAAACAAATAAACAAAGGCAAACAAATGGGCATCGAGTACCGCCCATATGGCGACACTGAACGAGATTGAGAGAGAAAGGCCTCTGGAAATGGGGGAAAGTGATTCTTACCGCACATCTTTCGGGGATGAGGCCCACTCGAATAAATCCCAACTCATAACAACGGCAAATATGAAGGGCAAACAGCAAACACTATAGTGCAAACAGGGGGAATCAATATGCCGCTCCAGACTGAAGAGTTTGCCCGATTCTGGCCACCAACCATTAATCATAACGCATCATCATCAGCCATGTTGGCGTTTCGCCTTCAAGAACTGTTTGGTTGTTCGGTTGTCTGGTTGTTCTGGGTTCTTGGGTTGTTGGGTTGCTGGGTGGATGGTGTTGGCCTGTCAGTTTCAGGGATCCCATGAGCACCGCCGCCGAACCCTCAAAGAGTGTATCGATGTGTCGACACATCCTTTCACCCTGTCCAAAGTGTGAACTTGACGGCCGAGCGTTATCCATAAATCCTTCAGCTCGCTGCAAAGTTTCACTCTCGACGGTGAAAAATTAAGTTTCCAGCGGATGGGTATTCCAGCAGTTTTTTTCCGCTTGCAATTTTCATTAGCACTCCGCTCCCAGCCCGAGATTAATTTGCATTTTTTCCGCCGGCTCTTCATCTTCGTAGTTAGTCATGAATATGAAGGAGGCCGATGAGATGCAGCCTCATCATCATCATCATGATCATCGTTGCAAGCAACAATCAGCTTAACTTACAAGCTGCATAAACAGCCAGCGGAAGCGGCAGCGAGTAAACTCCGGCTGCTGTGATTGCATTTGTGTCTTGGTTATAAATTTTAATTTTTTCCCCTCCCTGCAGTCCTAAGAATTTGCAAGACTTTCAGCGAACACGCGATTAATTTGCAATGAGTTGAAATTGAAGATGATTGCAGTGGATGCGAGATGCAGAAGATGGAGGGGTTCATTTGCAAATTGGTAGGGCGAAGATCCTTTGTCTTGGCCCATATCCATAAAAGATAATCTCTCGACAAATTTACGTTTATGCCATCGCGGCGAAGAGAAAACTTTGTGGCCATAAAAAATGCTTTACTCCCAGACATTTGTACGCAATGAGTTTTTAATATTTCCTTAAGTTGCTCGGCAAAAAAGAAGAAGGGACCCAGTCGAAATGAGTTTCGGTTTCATTTGGGGCAACGACAAATAAAATTTTATTGAAAATCTTTGCAGAAGGACGAGAAGGACCCTCGACACATACCGAAACATAATCGCCGGCAATAAAAACAAAGGCAGCAAACAAAAAAACTAATAATCGTGCGCGCCGATAAACACAAAAATTCAAGTTGGCCAAAGGACACAAGCAGCAGGACATGGGACATCTCGCTGAGGATAAGGCTAAGGGTATAAGCGAAAGAAGAAAAAAAACGGGAGGAAAACAATAAAGTTAAACCGCGATAACCAGCATGACAAAGGATAATGGATAACATGGCCGAGGACTCTCTGCCAATCGACTGAGTTTGGGGCGTAAGAAATGGCTCGCAATGAAAATGCTTACGATAGCGTGTAGAATTAAATTTTATTGTAATTCGCCTTCGGTTCGGCAGGACTCGAATGTCCTGTCCCCAATGGGACTCGCTTCCTTCCCACTTCCCACTTCCACTTCAAGGGACGTGTGGCCCTCTGTTTGTTTCTCCTCCCGAGTGGTTGACACTGTGGCAGAGTCCTTGTGGCAGTGGCATGTTGCTGGTGGTGCATTTTCTTGACAGTTGGCTGGGCAAATTAGTTGAGTGCGAGGCGAATGCAATTTGCACATGGATTTCGGTCGCTGGGTTAACCGCAAAAGTGACCCTAGAGAATTAAGGAGTGCTCGGTTTCTAAGGTCCTGTGAGGCAAACTGAGCAGCATGAATGTGATTGGATAAATTTTTGATAACATAAAAATTAGTAATAATAAAAACCGTACAGCAAAAAAATAATTCTAACAGATGATCTTAAATTCAACAATATTGCATATTCTGAGACGTAAAAAATAAATAATATCCATCACGGCAAGAAAATAAAACAAATATCTTTAAAAATGAAGTTTAGTAACCTTTCTATCTTAACATTTCGCAACACAAATATAAATTAACAAACTATGCCAGTACCTATATTTAATCCCTTCTTAAAATTGCAAAATTCAACATACATCTCCTGCACATTCAAAGTCAGAGCACTAAGCTTTCCAGAGTTTAAACCAACTCTTGTGTCTCGCCCACGCAAACGATATATGAAGTTTATGAAGGACCTGCTCGCCATTTTGCCCGACTTGGGAAACTTTCACTAATTGCACATTGTTCGAGCGAACGCCATGCAAGCCACTCAACATTAATTAGCCCCAATGAGAACTTTAACTCATTAATGAGGCTGGCAAACAGAACTTTTGGTCAATGGTTTTGGCTTTTACCTGAACGGTAAGTCCTTCTCGAAGGACTCCCTTCGGGGTAGTCCTGCTCTTCGGCGTCACGCTCGCCGCTCCTGTTGACGTACGTGTCAAATTAGCGACGTTTTAACAAGCTCGCCGTGTCCTGTGTCCTGATTCCTGACTCCTGAGTGCTCAGCTCAGAGTCACGGGTCCACAGCATCGAAGCCTCCAGACGGGCAAATCAATCACGCGAAAGTGGCCGGCGCAGAAAACTTTGAGCAACTGCGTCAAATTGCCTACTTTTGTGGGCCCTCCGCATTCCGCCCGCGATTTTTTCGCCGTTTCCCCGGCTTTTGGCTGCGAAACGCTGATTGCTTTTTCATTGCAGTTTGTCAGCGTTGTCCTCGCCGCTTGTTGTCGACAGCAAAGTTTTCCCTCCTCCTCTGCTTCCTTAGCTACCTGGGTTCGCCTCCATTTTCCAGCTCAATGGCCGGATTCGGAGGAGGAAACATATCGTCAGCAATTAAGCCCGCATTCAAACGTCTGTCTGGGATTTGGGATTCACGTAACTCCCCTCACTTAAATGCGATTTATCAGTTCGTTTCGTTTCTTTCTCTCATTCTTTTTTGTTTTTCCTCGGATTTTTGGGTTCTTGTGTTCCGACTTAAATTTTGTGCCATTCTGCCGCTCGAATATCTTCTCCAGCCGCCATTTATCATGGGTCGGGCAGCTGTTTTATAGTTTATGACAGGCGAGTCGTGTCTTCGTTCGAGCCATATCTTATAGGTGGTACACATCCACATATATAGTATAGTATAGTATAGTATAGGATCGGGGAAGGTCGCCTGTTGTCGCAAATGGGGTTTAGATGCCGACTGCTGCCAGTTGGATTTGCCATTTCGGCAGTTTGTACCGCCGTTCCCCTTCGGCCGGAGTTCGACTTCGATAAAACGTTTTACAAATTGATTTATGTGCTTAACATGTTGCCAGCTCAGCGTCTCTTACAATTAGATTTCGCTGGAAAATGCGGAGGAAAACTTTTCGTTTTCGTTTTCGTTTTGGATTTCCTCCTGGCGCGTCCCCCATCAATCATCGATAATGTCGATGGAGCGGCCGTCTCCGTCACTTCTTGGCCTTTTCGTGTGCCTTCTATTTTTGGCCCCCGCTTTTTCGTTTTTGTTTTTATTAATAAAGCATTTGTTTTCCCCATAATGAGCAACGACAGGCGGCTGTCAGGAGTGGCGGAAAAATCTCTCCCCGGGGACGATCTCTGCGTCGGCATAAAAAAGTGGCAACACTTTGTCAAGTTGTTATTACCAATATTTTATTCCTCTAGTCGGGCCGTTCCGTTCCCTTTTGGCCATGATTGATGTGCGCGAATTTTGGGAGGAAAAACGAAGATGGATTTTGGGGCGCGGTGCGCAGTGCAGTTCTCGTCGATTCGTTGAGCTTCTCCGATTGCATTTGCCGCCTAATGAGGCTTCAAATGAGTTTTCCCCGAGCCATATAATTTGATTTGGCGCTTTGATGGCTGCTTTTAGGCCGCCTGTCAGCGCAGTAAATTCAATAAAAATATTTACCAGCATTAACACGCGTTGAGCACATAAAGTGCCAGAAAACCCAACCCGCAAACGAGAAGATATTGACAGCAAAATGGCGCGTAAGCATAAATAGTAGACCGAAATGCGAAAGGGGGGCAGACAGCCAGTCAATGCCACTGCCAATGCCAATGAAATTTGCCATATTTTGCATACAACATGGGGTGGCGCCACAAGGCGCCTCGCCAAAGTGCCGCGAACATCCCCGAAAAAATCACAAAATCACACCGAATATTGTCCTCAACGCCATGTGCGAGTGTCGTAAAATGTTCGCCGTTTTTTTTTCCGATGGCTTTCTGGGGGTGTTACAAGTAATTTCACAGGCACAAACTAATGGCCAAAATATTATCACGCGCCATTTTTAAGGCAATTTCACGCATACGCGGTCTAATTTACGATTTAGCCGGTCGAAAGGAGGGTTGGAGGGTTGGAGGGAAAGCAAAGTACTCACATCGCACGCTGAGGTAATAGCCAATCGAGGAATACTGGAAGTTGAGGTGCCGGGACGTGCACTTGTACCAGCCGGAGTGCTCCCGCCTTATCGAGGTGAAGTTGAGGAAGCCGTCGCCCGTTTGCGGCACCTGCAATAATCGAGAAGCGGGAAATCGGAATGTTAGCATTTTTTCGCCGGGGAAATGGAAAATGCGAAATGCGAAATGGGAAGAGGGAAGAGGGGGAAATGAGTTTGGCTCGTTATGCGTAAACAATTTTTGGTAATTAAGGCAAGGCAAATAGTTTGGAGCAAGTTGAAACTTCGCAAGGTAGCGACAACTGCACGAAAATCCATTTAAAACTTGCTCCGCAGCCAAAAATCACACAAAAGGCCGACTTCCAATGGGCGGCCTACGTATGCACGCGGTCGGCCCCAAGCTTTTCCCCACTTTTCCGCTTTTCGCATTTTTAACACACTGACCAAAAATAGATGGGAACTTATATAACCTAATTTTATTTGTGATTTGACTTGTAAATATGTTGAATTATGTTTATCATGCTTAAAAGTTCGGATAAAGGATAAAAGTCTATAAAAAGTCGTTTTAAATCTAAACATTTTAATTTTAATACTTGTAAATGTTGTTTTGTAATTTAAATAAAATTGAAATGGTTGTAAAGTATGCAATCTCTTTTTAAATGGTATTTATATTTTCTTATTACTATTGCTTTAAACTTTTATCCAAATCAGACTTCATAATTTCCCATATCTTTTTTCCAGTGCACCCTTTCTAGTCGGCCAAACTTACCGGCGTGTCACCGTCGTCCTTCTGCCAGCGCGGAGTGCTCGGAGGATTGGAGTCGACGTCGCACTTGAGGCTAACTTCGATGCCCTCGCGGAGTGGATAACCGAAGCCAGGTGTGCGGGAAATGGCGAAGGAGGGCGTGTCTGCAACGGGAACAGATGGTTATTGCGACTTGACTTCTCTGCAGATTTTCGGCGCTATCACCGACTAGACTGTGGCAACATCAACAAAATAGTTTTTTAATTAAAAAATTACTCAAAAGAAGGGGTACAAACTGGCGGCAAGAAAGAAAAACTTTTATAATTAAACTAAATGCAAATGTTAGGCTCGGAGTGCCGGATCTTGTTTGTATTGGGCGAAAGTTAAATGAGGATGTGTCAGTTGTCACACGGTTTGTGGGAGATAATTGTAATCAAGCAAAAAGCCTTTAATGGCTTTAGAATTTGTAGTCATATTGAAACATAAATTCTATGATTTGTTTTCATATTTTTGTGACAAAACATGAGGGGATCACTAATGCTAGTATTGTTTTCAAAATATCTAATTTGGCGGTAGCCCAATTTTCAATTCATACACTTGTCATCGGTTTCGCTAATTGCTTTTGACATAATAATTAAATGTTTAGTTCATGTTGTCAGCATTCAATTACCAGCGAGCCACGAGTGTCAATCAATAAAGCATTTGATTCGGGAGTTAGCCGTGAACTTTACTTAGTTAGCGGATGTGAATGCAAACCGACGTTTTCAATTTAGGCGTATTCGGCTCTCTTTATTTGGCCGCTCACAACTCGTTCCGCTTTGTTCGAAAGTAATTCGATATGCGATTCAAAATACAACTTCGATTTCAATCCCAAACTGCCAATCACAAATCCATTCAGTGCATGTCAAAAAGCCATCGACAAATGTAAATCTAAATGTAAATGTAAATAATGGGATCGCCTCGGCGAGGCAGACATCTGCACTCGAATTCAATGCATATTCATAGGCATAAATCAAATGTTTTTTAATTAGTGCTGGCCATTTGGCAGGTCTGCCCAAAATATGCTATCCAAATGGGCCTGCTGCTGCTGCTGCTGCTGTTGCTGTTGCTTCTGCTGCTGCATTCATTTCAATCTTTTCAATTTTTCGGCGCACCAGTCGCCTTTGTGGCCTTTTGTAACTAATACAATTTGATTAGGCGCCCGGAATGGGTCTGCAGATGCCAAGGGACAAATGAAATTTGTTTGTCGGTTGTTTGCCAAACTATTCAATAGAGCCTCGGATCCTGTCGATATTCGTACGACCGGCAGACAGCCATCAGTCGTCAGTCGTCAGACATCATACATATTTATGAATGGGCGGGAAAACACATATATAGTATCTGGTCCATCAATTTGTTGACTTAAAATTGGCACCACAAAGCCTGGCAAAATTGTTTAACTGGTTAGGCGTATTATTTTTTTGCCAGAGTTCAAGAATTCCTTGTGTGTAAGTGTGTCTACATTTTCTCAAATTGCCCAAATTAAAAGAAAAATATTTGCCCGAGAAGCTCTAATTTAAATGGAAGCCCGAGCATTTTCCTTTGAGTCCTCTAGTCACATTTCGCCCAGCTTAAATTGTTCAGCGTTGAGCATTTCGGGACACAGTGATCCCTGTCCATGTCCTTGATTTGCCTGTCAACTGTCTGCATAAAAATGCGCAAATTAAACGCAGCAACCATTACAGATACAGATACGAGAACTCGGATGCGGCAACAATGTCTATGGCCTGGGCAAATGCTCTCATGTGTGTGCATTTTAATTTATACGAGCGCAAAAAAGGGAGCGGGCATAATAAAAGGAAAAACAGGACGAATCAGGACGAACTTGTTCCTTCTTTTGTGTTGAACCCGGAAAACGTTGCGGTTGTTCTTGTTGCTGCTGTTATTATTGTTTGAGGCCTTGTGCTGTTGTTATTGCGGTTTTTGCAATTTTCATGCCTGGCCAAAGCCAAAGCCCACACACACACGCACACAATCACTTACACACGCAGACACAACATAACACACCTACATACATAGGGAAACATCAAGGACTCTCTGCTATGCAAATCCCACACGGCTTTTCTATATTTTCCAATCATTTTCATGGGATCTCCACTACCTGGGCATTTGTCAGGGCATTATGCGGCTTCACGGGCATTAATAAAGCAAATAACTGTGGTCCGTCCCCGGATCCTGGCGCTGATTGAGACCCTCCTCGGGGCAAGGACCTCATGTCCGGTGTCCTGATGGCCGGTGTCCTCGTGGCCAGAACGTGTGTGCGGCTTTTTGCTGCCAATTAGTGCTAGTCTTCCAATTGTCGCCTCGCCTCATCGACCGATCATCCATCCATTGGCATCAGCTCCCAATTCCATGTTGCGTCACTTTTGCGGTGCCCACAGGACTCCTATCTTTATTCCCCGGTTTTGTTGTGGCTGCCAGTGGCATGTGTGTGTATGGGTGTGTGTGTTGTCCACCGCCAACGGTGGGTCACAAAACGGGATTGGCGGGGCTTCCCTTAAAGTGATTCCATTGTTGTGCGGATGGAATCATCCCAGCTGGCCACTGAGTGACCAGCAATTTGGGGGCGTGGTCAGCCAACCCGATATTCAACCAATTTAAACTGCACAATGTAGAGATAAACTAGCAAATAGCAAATAAAGAAATGTACCTAAACTCAGTTTAATTTCGTTCTTGTCACCTTTTTAAGTCTTTGTATTTAATTAGTTTTTAAAGTTTAAATTGCAATAAATTCCAGCTGCTTGAGCAACGAAAACCTCTGCACTGTCCGATAATATTTCTTTCTTTTCCCCAACACCTTCTTATTTTTAAGCTAATTGAGAGCCCAGCAATCCTCTCGGGTCTCGACTTTCCATTAATTCCCCTTTTTCCTCTGCCGCTTTTGTTTCTTGCATTTCAATTGGACGTAGGCGTCCTTTTCTCAACTGTCGCGCTTTTCTTTTCAGCTTCCTCTTGGCCATTTCCATTGCAATTTGATTTTGTTTTCCTTTCCGTTCCCTTTTTCTGCTGTTTCAATTAATATAATTTCACCTTTGCTTTCGGTTGCTCCGCTGAATTTGTTCACTGCAGGTGCATAATAACTTTCGTTGCCAGTTCTACGAGAATTCCCTGCCCGATTCCCAACTCGCCCTCAGCTCGGGATTCTGGCCATAGCCTCTTGGCTCTTGGCCGGGCTTGTGGCGTGTGTTAACTTTGGCAATTTAACTTTTCAATCAACATTTACTTTTTGGTTTTCACTTTTATTTACATCATTCCACTCTCGTTTTTTGCCCTCCTTGAGAAGTAATTAAACAGGGTGAGATACACACTCTGTTTGGATTTTATTAAAAAGTTTTTGTGACCTTAACATGATGACTCACTGAAGCATTTGTCCTTTCTGGCAGGTGGTGCTTTTGGCTTAGTAAATTATGAAGTTCTTTTTGAGTTGGGTTTGTCTTTTATATATAATTAAAATGGAATTCATACTGTTGAAATGATGATGAATTACTCTGGTGATGAGGATTAGTTGGGGAGCTTGTTTTAGGAAAGTAAGTTATATTTCCTTAGGGAAATTAAAAACCTTTTTAAATTATAATTGCTAAAATTGATATACTGATAAAATTGTTTTCAAAATAATAAATATAAATATTAATTCCTTGAATTTTTTAAAAATACTGATACTTATTCAAACTCACATTGCACATCCAGGAGAAGAGAGGCGTTCTGACGGATTTTCAGCGTGGGATGCTCCATGACGCACAGGATTCGAGCGTTGTGATGAGCCCTGTAGACCGCCGGCAATCGAGCCTCGCTCTTCGCCCCGCTGTTGATCCTGTAGCCATCCTTGTCCAGCTGCAAAGTGGCAAAGGAAGGGGAGCCCGATAAAATTCCCATTCAAATTTAATGCTAAACACTGGCAAATTGGGCCAAATGACAGGCGGCTGTACGGACAGGCCAATTAGTCAGGCCTGTTATCAGCGCGACATCATTAATTTAAATTAAAGTCCAAGGGCAAGGCCACCCACCTCATGGTATTCTGTGCAAACTCCACACACCACCCACAACCACCCAACACCCGCTGTGGCTTTTGCATGGACATTTTGTTGGCACAGTTTTCAATCAATCATCAAGGGGCGTTTGTGGGTGGTGTGAGGTTAGGTTTGTGACCAGTCGAACACGCAAATTTGTGGCATTTAGGGTCCACACAAGACACTGCCTTTGGGTGTATATGTGTGTGAGTGTGTGTACGGGTGTGTGAGTGTGTGTGCTTGACAGGTGGAAGTGCGGGGGCCAAGTGGGTGTTACGAGAGAGAGAGCTGAGGGAGCTCCTCCTGCATTGCTCGACCGAAATGTCTGCTTTTCATTATGCTCGAGTGCAAGACAAACAAATTTTGGCACAACCGCAAACTGGGTCCACCAGTCCAGTTCAGCCAGTCGTCCGGAAGAGCCGTTGTTGTTTGAGCCAGTAGCCGCTGTTAGCCACACCTAATGTGTTTGCCGGCCGGCGAAGCTGTGGTTTTTCCACTCCACTCCACGGCACTCCAATACCCATTAACGGATCCCATTCCCACTCGGATTCGAACAGCTCAATGCATTGCCATCGTGGCTTACCTTCTCGCCCTTGATCTCCTCCAGCTCCAGCACTTCGGCGGACACCTTCTGGGCATGTCTGTCCACGCCGGGACTGAGGAGCACCTCCCAGGTGAGCGTGGGTCGCGGATTCCCTCCTTCGCTCACGCAGGCCAGGTTCAGCTCGGAGTTCTCCTTCACGGGCACGAACAGGTTGCTGGCGTCCAGGCGCCGCGAATCAATCAGGAGATACGGAGGCTTTGGACGATCTATGGGAAGGAATAAAAAACAGAATAAAAAAGCTTGCCAAAATCTGTATTCCTAGTCTCACTTTGCAGAACAACACACAGTTCAATATAAAATAAGTAACTAAATAACTAAACAATCAAAATAATTAAAATCCTGCTCAATATTTTTAATACAACTAAAATAGTTTTATAGTTTCACTTAATTCTCTGAATAAGGCTTTAAACTAAAAGCAATCTGTTTATTTCTGATGGTAAGTTATTCATTTTATAAATTCATATAATTGTTGCCCAAAAAATGACATCATACTGAATTCAAGTGAAATGATCCCTTATGAAAGATCTTTTTCGAATAATTGAATAATGACAACCTAATAATAACCTAAAGAAGCCAAAATTAAGCTGTTTTCCTTCTCCTAAGCTGACTTTAAGACATGCTCTCGAAGAGCCGAGCTCCGTTCGATTCAGAAGTGGAAATCGCCGTGTTTACCACTTCGAGAGCATGTGCTTATCTTAATACCCTGAACGCTTTTTGATGCTTCGACCATAAAAGCGAGAACTTGGCTCGGGACACCGCCAGAGCTGTCTAATTTTCAAAACGGAACGACCGTTTTAATATCAGTCTAAGCTGTTGGCCAGGTCGTGACCGCGACGAGAAGGCGGCAAGGAAAGTGGAAAGAGGAAAGAGGATACTCACCCAGGACGACCAGCTTGACGGGACGGGCGTTCTCCGTGTAGCGGCGCGTGTTCTCCGCCTCGCACTGCCACTTGCCGTCGTCCTCGAGCATCACGTTGGTGATGGTTAGTGCCCCATTGGCCTCCTTGATGAAGCGGTAGTCGGTGACGCGGGTGGTGCGGTCCATGGCGTGGACCACCTGAAATGGAGGAGCGCGGATAAGTTTGTGCGGCGTTAAAACTAATGTCACTGCCGGAATTATGCAAAGCGCCTCTTGAAACTTTTAATGCAGCGCATTAAACGGCCATAAATTTCTCCCATTAAATGCAATTCCACACCGCCCCCATCGCCGCATTTTGCAGGCGAAACAATTGCATTTAATGTTTTCATATCCATTTATTTACACTTGGGCTTCACTGGCATTTTATTACATTACGTTTCGCTTCAAACAAACACAATACTCGTAATGACAATTAAATGAGGACGGTGGACGAGCGAAAGCCGGCAGAACCCACACACATGTTATCCACTGGTAATGTGGCAACAATGAACTGGCGGCTTAAAAACTGTTACCAATAGTTGTTGGCCATATCCCGCTGCCAGTCTTTCTGTCTTTCTGTCTTTCCGTCGGTCTGCCCGCCGGCTTAATGCAAACGGAAATTTATGTGCGCATTCAAATGCCTCACTCGCCGCAGAGAACGAATGAAAATTATGAAGAATGCCGGCAACAAAAAAAGTTATGAATATATGTGGAAATGTTGCGTACGCTTAATGCGTTTAAGTGCCAATTAAATGTCGGGCTAAAAAGAGCGCGGTCAGCAGGGGGCGGCCATAAATGAAACACAATTTTAATTGCATTTGCAGGCGGAGAGATTAACTTTTGGGCTTGGATTAAGGCGCACCGAATAAAAAAGAGGACCGTCTGAGGCGCATTAATTGCCAAGCCATACTCTATCCCTCAATTGGGTATTACCTTTATGACCTTTTACGTTCGGTTATGTACTTAAAAGCGTTTGCAAAGGGCTTCAACTTAAAGCTACATTTAATTGGCTCTCTAATCGAATTTGATTCATTTTGTAAATTTCACATGTCGAATCATCTTACTTTGCTTCGAATTTTACCTAACCGAAAAACTCTTCCTTTCAATCACAGACTTCGATTTACCTAAACTACCAAAAAATCGATTCAAAATCTACTTATTTAAATCCAAGTATAATTTTAAATGCTGTTTTACGGGCCGCTGCTTTTTAAATAAAAGGATACTCAACGAAATGCCCCTAAAATCGCACCAACATTAAATCCCCTCGAAAAAGGCAATATTGAGCGGGGGAAAAAATTGAAAGAGTCGTGAAATAGAAAATCCGTAAAAAATCTGTAAACAGAATATTTGTATGGTGCACTTCCGGTTCCGTTTGTGCGTTTGCGTTTTCCATTGCCAGTTTTTGTTTCGGCTTACGACTTGTGTGTTTGGTGTATATTTTTCAAATGCAGTGCAAATATTTATGCGTATATGAATTTCACTTCCCGAATCGGGGGATTCCCCTCCCCCTTCCCCTTCCCCTTCTCCTCCTGTAGAATCGATGTGTGCGTGTTGGTGTGCGTGAGGCGACTTCCGGCGCGCATTTGCCGCAGTCGCCGCAGCGGCCATTTGCAGAAAATTTATTAACCAACGACGCATTTGACTGGCAACTGGCAAAATGGCCAACTGGCCAAATGGCAAACTGGCGACTGGCAAAGTGGAAACTGGATTTTGCGTGGCTGTGCAGCGGGGCATTCAGTTGGAAATTTATGAGGTCGATGCCGATCCGAGGCTTTTTGGCATCCACTTCCACTCCAGCTAGTGTCCAATGTCCACTGTCCAGTGTCCACTGTTCAGTGTTCAGTATCCAGGCCTTTGGCACCTGGTCGTGTTGGATTTTTCTGGTTTGGCAACATGGCCGCCGGACAAAAGCGTTAAATGAGCGTGGCAAATCCTTGTTTACAGCGTCGAGCGTTTCGGCCGGATTACACGCTCGATTGTTTCGGGCCTTCCATTGTTGGCGATCCTCTGGCTGCTTTTCTGTTTTCGGGTAATTATGAATTCAGACGCTTTTGTTTTTCCACAGCAAAAGGGCTGCGTATGTATATGTATGTGTGTGTGAGTGCATCTGTGTTGCCAGCTGCGTCGATTCGCATAAATTGCTGAATATTTTGAAGGCTCGCACGCATAACTTTGCATAATTTGTGGCCACGTTATCGGTGGACAGTTGAGGGTTCTGTAATTCTCTAATTGCATTGTTGGCAAACTTTTCGCCGATTCGCGATTTACATTTAATTTTTGCTCTCCCTTCTGCATGAATAATAATGCCAAAATTTATATAATACCGGTTTTCCGGTTTTATTTTAGCCCTAAAATGTCACCATTTTTTTTTTTTCGTAAATTGCGAAAATAATAAATGCTCTTTTTCGGCTGCACACTTCATTGACATTCGCTGACAATTAGCTTCATGCTGCTGCAGGAGAAAAAGAGGACATTTCTCCAGCTCGAAACCCATTCCGAGCAGACGCTTATTCCCTTCAAGTGGAGCCCAAGGAGCTGGGAGAATTGGCTACTTATATCTATCACTTGCTTGGAATTGCAAAAATCTTGTCAGCCAACATTGCTCACTGACTGTCGCGCTATCTGGCGCCCCCTCCTCCCCCCACTCCTCCTCCTCCATCCCACTAACTTGAAATTGCTTTCGGCAAATATATTAGCCTCTTGATAATTTTCAACAATAAATTCCTTGGCACTCACACACAAGCAGACATAGAATAAGTGGAAGTGGAATGGGAGGAGGAAGTGGGAGGCAGAGGTCCTGGATCCTGGTTCCCGGTTCCTGCACTCCGCATCCTGGCTGGGATGAACTCCTTTAGCTGTTGTTCCCGCTCGGGGACTCTAATGCATTGTGCAACGCTCTAGAAAGTACAACAAAAGTCGCTCATGTTGCAAGCTGTCAGTGCAACACTTGTCGCATGTCATTGCCGCAGTTGCAATGCAACGTGGAGAGGGGAGAATCGAGTTGAAAAGGGTTCGCATGGGGGTGGGGTGGGCACATGGGCAACTGGGGATAATCACGAGATATATATATATTTATAAATGTATATGTATTTGTGCAGACCAGAGAGCTTAAAGCCTTTGCTTGGCTAAAACTTTCTACGCTCGTATGTTGCCGCAGGGTTTCTTCTGTGTGCTGCTCTTCGGTTAATTCTGTTTCATTATATTTCGGTTTGCTTAATCTTACTTTTTTATTGGGTTTCTTTTCAATATCTTAGTGAAGTTTTAGTAGTATTTATTCACAAAATTGATAAAAGCTTTCTCTGCTAAAATCTTCTGATTTATGTCAGCAGGTTCCAAATGCAATTCTTTGTTGCAACATGTTGGGCTTCTTTGGTTTTTGACAGATTATATTTAGCTTTTTCTTTATTCTTAGTAGCTTTGTTTTCCAGCATTTGCTGAGTGTTTTCTTTGTTTTATTTATGATACTGTTTCTAGTTCGATTCAGAGTATCGAATTGTAATATCATACTTTTTCCGACAGTTTTTTATGCATATGTATGTACCGATTTTGAAATTTAACATGTTTTAGGCAGGTTTCTCGTAAAGGGATTTATCTCAGTAAGGGCATTAAAAAGCCAGTTTGCTGGCTTTTTCGAATCCGACCCATCCTGCAACACACTTCGCACACATTGTTGCCGCATCACTGTTGTAATTGCCGCAGCCTGCTCGTTACTGTTGTTCTATCTGCCGCTCCAGGATGCCGGTGCTCGCTCGTCCTTTTCTCCTTTGGCGCTTACACATGGCTGGCTTTTGTTTTAACACAACTAATACAATTGCACCGCTGGGAAATGTGCTGCGATGGCAGACGGAGATGCGAGATGCTTGATGCTAGATGCGAGTGGCGAGATACGATGGATGTTGCTGCTGCGCCGCTTCTGCTGCACTGGCGATGATTTTATTTGCCATCGGAGGAGCACTCAGAGTTGGCAGGAGCAGCCTGCCCGTCGACCGGCGTCGACATTGTAACTAACTTAATAAACTTGTCAAAGGTACAAGGCAGGCGGCGTGTTAGCAACTTAAGACCCGCTTTTCCGACTTTCCCGGCTTTCCCGGGCACTTCCAACTCCCCACTAAGTGGCACCGCATTGTCGCTCATTTTCATTTGGGATTTCTGAGGCTGACTGATTAATTTGCCGGCTTGATGTGATTTACGCTCCCAGTGGCTGCACTTGCACCCAGGATGCTGCAACTTGGCCATTAATGCTGTGTCTTAAGTTCGCCCCTAATTGACTAATGGAGGCTTATCGGGTCTCGGCTGGAAGGCAGCTTTACTATCCGGCGGGTTTGTTGACCTTAAACCTGAGAGCCGGGCCATAAATAAGCTTGTCAGAGCCACAAAGTGTGCAACAAGGCGGCTGCAGCCATAAAACTCCTATTTCCGTTTACTCTGTTGCCTGGTTTGGGGTTTATGTCTGGCAATTGTCGCCACGCGAAAAATATGGCACTATAAAGCCAACAAATTGCCGGCGAGACAACGCGGTTAAGGATACCCTGTGATAGCCTGCGGATCCTGTACTCCTTATGGGCGAAGGAATCGCAGTATTTGACACATTTCACGCCAAATAAAACCCAATGCAAATGCAATCACATCGCCGACGCGTCTGGCTGGCAATCCCGAGTTCAAGTTGCTGACATGCAATTTAGTGGCTTCCAACGGAATCCAATATGGCATGCGAATGCAAATAACAACAAGTAGGCAAACAATCGCAGCTTGTGGTCCTAACAATGTTAGCCAGCTTTGCCCGCAAGTATGCAACTCTTTTCCACGCGTCGAGTTGCAGGCTGCGAGTTGCAGGTTGCAGGCTTACCGGTTGCAGGTTGCAGGTTTGCCGGTTCGCCAGTTGCCGGATTGCAAGTGCAGGGGCAACAGCAGCCAGTTAACTGCCACAGACAACGGCAACACTTCTGGTAACATCAACAACAAATACTACTGCCGACTCGTACACAAAGTGGCATTGCTGCCGGTGGCTGCAATTCTGTTGCTGCTGCTGCTACTGTTGCTGCTGCTGCTGCTGCTGCTACTGTTGCTGCTGCTGCCGTGTTAGTTGCAACTATTATTTGCCCATCAACAACTTGGCCTGCCAGCTTGTTGTATTTACACCTGCACAAGAGTGTGGTGCCTCGGTTATGGGATATTTGCACCTGCCAACTTTGCTGTGGGGTCTGGAAGCCAAATTGCAGGGGTTCATAAAGTGCGAATCAGTGCTGCCAACCTGTCGAGATTCCTAACAATCCTATTCCGTTTCAGAAGAAGCTAATCAGGCACTATGCCTTTTAAAGCCTATGAATTCTGGAAATCATATTTATATTTAATTTGAATTATATTTTCTAAAACTCTTTATGAAAAAAACTGAACCTTGTCTATCAGATTCTTGATAAGAGGATATTTGCCAACACTGATATGAATACCATTCGTATTACGGAATTTTCCAGGATTCAGGAATTATATCTCATGGGGGTCGCATCTTTTTCAACACAAAGTGTATGCAAAAACATTCTTGGCACTCGGAAAACTCGGCAAACAGTTATAATTGCATTACGCCGAGAGGTTTTTTACCGGTGAACTTGCAACTGTTTGCGTTCGCAATTACAACTCAATAACTTTCGGCTTTGCTGGCGGGTTAACTTTTCCCTCATGTTTTCCGTTTTATTTCCCTCAATTTTGTTTCCGTTTTTTTTTTGTTTTTGTGAAGCAATTTCCATTTTAGCCCGCACATTTGTAGCCTACTTGTGGGCGTTCTGGCATGGCAAAAAGTCGTAATTAGAAGCCCTCGTTGCTGCATAATGAGGCAATCGAGCAAAAAGGCGACCCTCGAAAGATGAGCTCTGCCAGCGCTTTTGACATCAGAAACTATCAAATAATAACGATTATCCTATTTGCATAATGCGGCAGTTAAGCGACAAAGGACCGGGAGTCAGACACAGGGCAAAAGCCCTGCCACTCGAGACGTCTCGGCCAGGATAAGAATAAAGCCAGAAGCCGGCGGACAGACAGTCAGTCGGACAATCAGACAGCCAGACAAACAAAGAATAAGCCGGGAAAGTGGGCGAAAAGTGGAAAAAGAATGCAGAAGGCCAGGAATGCAATTAAAGTCAGCCCAAGTTGGCAGTTCCTGACAGCTCGAGAGCCTCTTCGCAGGAACTAAAAAGGCGGGAGGCAGTGCGGATAACTATTTAGAGAGGTCCTTTGAACTCACCTGGCCGTTCTTGTACCACATGCTGGTGGCAATGTCCAGATCGACCTCGCACATCAGCTTTATCTCCGAGTGCTGCTCGGCGTACACCACGGACATCTCCTCCGCCTCGTAAGGATTCGGTGGCACGGGACGCAGGGGAAGGACTCGCGGCTCCAGAGGACCTTCGTCCTCGTCCTCTTCCGCCTCCTCGCGGCTCTTCCGCGCGATTAAGTCACTGGTGCTGGTGCCACTGTCGAACTCCTCGACATCATCAATGATGATCACCGGCTCCTTTGGCTTGGGCTGCAAGTCCTCGGGTGCCAAATGGAGCGTGGAACGCGGTCGCTTGGCCTTCGTTTCGTTAGCGAGCGAACTCCTGGTGGCCAGGGAACTGGAGCTGGTGGCCACCTGGACTGTGGTGGCCACCGCCGTGGAGGTGCTCGTCGAGCTGGAACGCAAAACGGGGTCCAGCACATCCTCCTCCGTTTCGCGGCGCTGCCTTCGCCTCGCCTCCTTGTGGAGAGCGGCTCGGTGGGCCTGGTGGTGTGGCTTCAACACCGCCCGCCACTTGGCCTTGGCCTTCTGGCAGTTCTTGGCGCATTTCGTCGGCTTAGCCTCGCCAATGCCGCGGTGGTCAACTGGCTGGTCGAGCGACTCGGCTGATATGCTCGGCCAACTGAGACTGCTGCTGCTGATGGAGCTGCTGCTCCTGCTGCTGGCTTCTCGACGCTCGGCGGGCTTTGTCTTCTGCACTGACTTGGCGTTGATATTCTGTGGCTGTGTGTAGGTGGTACCTGCAATCGAGAGTCGAGCAAACAGAGTAAGCCGATTAGGGGAATAAGTCAGAAACACAAAGAGAAAGTGATGGCAAAGTTTACACAATTCAGAAATAATTTAAGCAGGTATTTTCGTAATTTAGTATTCATTTGTTCAATGAATATATTTCAAGAAATTCTCTAGATTATCTTCCAGAAAAAAAAATTATTCAATTAACATTCTATTTGGTATAAGTATCTGAGTATTAAGTGATTACAAGTTGCAAGACATTTTCCCCTGTCAAACTCCTGATGAAAGCGATCCGGATTTGATGACTGTGTACTTATTTGCTCTTTCAACTTCACAGGAATTTCGGGTCCCAAAAGGCAAATGATTCGAGGACAACTTATGCTGGGATGAGGGTATCAATTACATTGGCTTGTTGCATGTAGAATGCGTTCAGGGCTCATGCATTTATTTACGAATTTTCGTAGGCAAGTTGCCAGCAGCATCGAGTGAAAAGCCGAGGAAGGAGTCTCACCGATATGGAGCATCCTTTCGAAATGTTTTCCCTATGCATGCAAATCCTGGCCTAATCTCCTGCACTTTCAAAGCTATTTTCATGCCTAACTCTGTGCCCCTCGTCTGTTGCTCTTTGACAACTCTGCTTATTGTCTCCTTCAGATTCAGATTCAGCCCCGGCTCCTCCGCCCTGATCCTGCCATCCTTGTTGTCTTCCTGCTAGCACACTCCTGTTGATGTTGATAAATTTACACAAGTGTATGACAAGCTTTCAAATGGTAATTAATATTCATCTGAGACGAGCGGCGGGGGCGGAGAAGCTCGGCGGCGGTGGGTAACTCCCTTCAAAGGACAACTGCCGAGTGTCTCCTTTGTACTCTTTCCAGATTTCTTCGATCTGAAAGTCAACTGTAGCCGGCAGCTATGAAATACACTGAGGCAATGATGGGACTTACATTTGTTAGAAACTTTTCTACTAAGAACAAACTTTTAGCTGCTATTCTACTAAACCTTCAATAAAATAAAATCTGGTAAGTAATTTCTGTGGTTCTTCCTTTTTCGAGTAATCTTAATATTTTCCATTTGTGGATTGGGTTAGACTGGTTTTTTTCTCTCTGTGTTCGATGTCTGTGGTTAGCTGACAAAAGCAGATCTAGTCCCGGGAATAGTCTGTGAGCCCTTTCTTCGCACTCCACCGCTGCCTTTCTCCTCTCCACAGACTTTCTCCCGCCCAACCGCTTCTTCCCAATTTCTCATTGTCTGACTGGTGCTTTTGTCTTCCAGCCCTTTTCTCGTTTGCTGGGCGTTACTCATCTCTTTCTCGGCTGTCTGTTGGCTTTGTGTTTGTAGCTAAATTAAAGTTGTCATTTTTCAAGTGAACGCACAAAAGTGTGCAATGCGCCTAATAAATTTCTGCCTGGCATATCCTGTTATTCGGCCGAGGTCCTGCTTTCGTAGGCATAACTAAGGGAGGCTTAGTCGGGATAGTTATGTAGTAGTCGTAACTCCCTCCCAGACACTCACACATACACCCACACTTATTCGCATACTAGCTCACATAGCCATACACATAAGCGCTTAAATGTTTTCACAACAGCTTAAAAGTCGGCTACACTTTTGGCGAGTGTGTGTTTGTGTGTGTTGTTTGCATGCAGCTGTAGTTGTTTGTGTTGTAACTTAAGTTGTAAATGAAGATTGCGTCGGAAATTGCAGAGAACTGACGTTCTCTCCGGCTTCGCTTTCTTGGTGGCCCCGCCCAATAGCGAGTACCGCCCAACCGCCCACCGCCCACGAGATGTGCGTGCAAATTTAATGAAGCTGCCACACACACACATAGAAGCGCACCCACACCCACACACTCACACACCCACTCCTGCACTCACACTCTGGCAAACACTCGAGCATGCTCGAGCTTGAAGCTTTTCTGTGGCATACGCTGCACCGCATAAATTTCTGGGCGGGATTCGGGGAGTCCGGAGGAGCAGCGCTTGGAGTGGGTTGTTTGACAGTTGATAAAACGCCGGTGCTTGACAACAATCAACCGTGCCTTCCACACTCCGCTCATTAGCCGCCCGAGGACTTTTATTTGTTTAATTCTGCATTAGTAATTGCTGCAAGGATATTAGCAACAACGATCAACGATCATCTTTAAAGTTATTTCCAATACAAGTTCACCTTAAACTGGTTCTACTATATGTTTGTTTAATATCTACTTTAATTAGAACAGTTAGTCAACTATTTATTTAGTCTTAAATGAAATATAAACTTGTTAATTAAATAGCATTTTATTTAATTTCCTGTGTAACAAAACATGCTCTAAATTAGTACGTCAAATAAAAACAATCTCTACATTTTATATTAAAAAAAACCACGTTTTGTCTCACCATCAGTGGGCTCTATTTAAACTTAAAATAACTCTTTCACCATTTATTACCAGTTAAAATGGGCACCCAATATCGCACTCAATAATGCAACCATAAATTAATTGCCTGCCTTGAGGCGATGTCAGCCGCTTAATTGCATTGTTTTTCAAACATTTTGCGGAATAATATTGGTTTTCGATTGCCCTCATAAATCAGGCAGTTTTACGCAATAATTGCAAATAATTTTGTGTAAAAATCGCTCAGCTTTCCAGGCCCTCGCGCACATGACAATTATGGCAGTTCAATGGAGCATTGCGTGCAGCGGCCTGGCCTTATCAATATGCAAAAAAGCCATGTACTTTTATGGACTGACAAAACGATGGAGCTACGCGCCTAAGGGCAGAACGGACAATCAAGCGCTGACATAATTACGCGTTGGAACATGCGTCTATATGCATATATGTCAGCCCGATTACGGCCATATCGGGTCGGGTGGCGTTGGTCGTGGGTTGGATGGGGCCTGTCACATTTAACTGGCAAAATTTTCATCGATTTTCCAGTTTTTCCCCCGCGTTCGCATACATTTTTTCACGTTTGTCCAGGCAAACATGCAAATGACATCGAGTTGAGTTTCATTTTGTGCCACTACAGCTTTTTTTCACTGTATCAACATTAATTTAATGCACTCGAACCGGCGTGTTTGTGTTGTCTTTAATAATATTATTTTTTTGCAAATTCCGATCGCCCGCACGGATAATTGAAAGGGAAAAGCGTATTCTGTGTAGTCATAAGTTCTACCATTGTCGTAAGCTGTATTGTTGTGTTCCCAGTCCAGCTCTAATTAACCCTTGGCTCATTGTAAGTGCTTGTTTGAAATGCCAAGTGTTTACTTTTTCCTTTGCCTTGTGCACTGTAAATTATTTATAATTAAAAGAATCCTAAAGAAGATTATTATTTGAGTCTAAAAAATACGCAACAACAAGCATTTTTTATAGATCACCATCTATTATTATTATTATTATTCTGCAATCCTTTAATATATATAACATTTATTGTAATTTGTACTCATAAAATAAATTTGAATCGATGATTGAGGAGTTTATTAAAGTATAAATTTAATTCTTTAATAGTTTTTCTTTCTCTGTAAGAGCTTCTGTGCAACTCGTGCTGAATCACAGCCCAAACATTAAACAATAACTCGCCGGGGCAGTCAATACCCTCAGCTCAACTTAACTCGACTTGGTTCGCTTACATTTTCCTGCACCTCCGCCCACGCTTTCCCACATTTTCCTCGACTGTCAACAGAACGCCCCTCGTTACGCAACCCATTCAGTCGGAGCGTGTGTGTGTCTGTGTGTGTGTATGCCTGTATGAGTGTGTAAGCCTTGCGCCGAGCGTTGATTAGGTTAATGTCCTTAAGGCATAAGAACAGCTGGCAGTCCCCCGTCTCCATGACCGACTCCTCGCCCAAGAATCCTCGCCCTCCAACCTCCACTCTCCCTCAGCTCCGACCGAATCCTGAGCAGCTTATGGTATTCCCACTCAGTGGTGCAACTTGCACCTGGCGAAATCGGAGAGGCAGCTCCTCTATATATGCACTCGCTTGGCTCGTGCATTGTTTAAGTTCCACAACGTCGACAACTTTGCCAACCGCCACTTAATGCAAGCGCCGAGTTCGGAGTTCCGAGTCCAAGGGAAAGGGAAACGGGAAGTGGAAAGGGTTCTGGGGGATCCTGTAAAAGGGGGCGGATCCGGTTCGGGAAGGGGAGGGGGGGCGTGGCCCGACTGCACTTTGCCTGGTGTGCGGTGGCGGCTTTTGTGGCCAGCCAGCAAACAGGAGAGGCAAAGGCAGCCGGGGCAGCAGAAAGTGCAACTACACCCACTCATTACTGCCATTGGCAACTAAAAGCCTTTTAATCGCCCCCGAACGTTCGTTCTCACAAAATTATTGTGCGAATCTTGATATTTGCCCGAATAATTCGATGCGAAGCTTTCCGAGAAATTAATTGACATCTTACCACATTTTGCTGGCTTCACTGAATTCGATGGGGTGCATGATATGAACGAGAAGTGCTGACGCTATGGACTAATTAGACTTGAAGTGAACCAAATGGTGTTCTCTGCTCATATTCACTCAGAATAAACTTGGCAGTTGTGTTTATTGTACCTTGGAAACTAATTTAAGATAAAATATCCCGACAAAACGAAAGCTTTTGATGATTAATTTTGAAAATGGTGTTCTAACCAAAGTTTTTGGCATTTAAAGCTTTAGTAATTAAATGGTGGAACTCTTTCAAAATAAATTATATTATAAATATAAACAGATAAAGCTTAAGTGGCATACAGTTTTTCTTACTGGTTTTTAAATTAATATCCTAGCTTCACTTCACTTTAATCCCGGACAAAACCGAGACTAATATAACTCTTAACATGTTGTCAGTCCTTTCGCCGGCTAAAAAGCTACGTGATGCTTTTTCCTGCCACTTTTTGACTGAGTGGATAGGTGGGACGGTGGGAAGGTGGCTGCGTGCCGCCTGGTTTTTTACGATTATGCATGCTCGGGGGTCCCGTGACCTTCCCAGCTGCCAGTTGTATGTGCGTGTGTGTTATGTGGCTTTTAGTTGGAGCTGCCACTTCATTGCACATGCCGGTTC